AATTCTTGAACAAATACCCCCACCCCTTCCCCTCTCTTCTGACATCATACTCCTCCCCTTCATCCCCCCCTTTCGTTCCCCATGTCATTCAACTCCTTTTTTCCACTTCATACTCTTTGTCTACTGTCATAGTGTTGTTAATCATTAAGCTTCGTTTTACTTCGTTTTCTGCAATATTTTCACTAAGGGTCAACATTTGGTACAAAAATGCAATGTTTTTAAATGGTTTTTTCTAAACATTTTGATCCTTAAGAGAAAATATATTGCAAGAAGAACCCAAAAATAATTAGAAACGAAGGTGTTGAAACGACCTTTTTTGGTTCGTTTTATTTTTTTATGATAAAAGATTAATAAAAGCAAACTTTAATCGGATACAGTTTTTAAAAGCGGGAAGTTTTAATAAAAGTTATTAAAAACAAACTAAAACCTAAACTGTTAGTCCAGTTCAAAGACGACATTTTTAATGAGAGAAATATTTAAATAATGAATCTATATAGGAGTTCGAGTATAAAGGAGCATCTGGCTAGTCTTCGTATTCATCCTAATCTTCTATACATGACAAGGTATTTATTTAATAATCATTTTGCGTATTTTCTAAAGAAAATATCGATGTACAATGATTTAATACCATAAAGGGAAGCTTTATTGTAAGAAGCTCAACAAAATGTTATTAATTTAAAAATGATGAGGTAAAAAATTAAAGATCTAATCGAGGCCGGAACTCATTTAACCTGATGTCTAAAATTTAATACAACATTTCCCATACATATCCCTCCTTGACATATGGTAAGAACTTCCCATTCCCAATAAAGTTTTTTTTTCCACTTTTTCAACCTTTTATAAATGCCGCAATGTATTCTAGACTTCTTCCCCCCCCCCCTTATCAAACCTCACTCCCAGTAAGTCCCCGCCCCCGGGCCCCCACGCCACATAGCACGGTGAATCACTGTTCGTAGTCGTAACTCGTACTCTGTAGTCTGTGACGTCAGTTCCAACCTAACAGCGAGAACGTTGCCATTATTGATTTTCCCCTGTACTTGTAGATAAAGGGGAATATTTATTGTGAAACCGTTGGAAGAATCTTCACAATTTTTAACGATTACAATTTTAAAACTACGTAATAATGTTATGGGACAATCTTTATCATTGAATTACGTCGTTTAGTGAGCTGTGAGTTTACTGCATGTGTAACGAAATTTTTAAAGTAATGCGTAATAAATGGATTGGCGATATCAGCTTTCACTTTTAATAATTTTATAATATTTTATTTTCAGAATCAGCGATATATAATGTTACTGTTGACTTAATTATTTGTTTAATAAAAGCTGCTCCTTACTGCTGTTAAGTCTAAAAGCAGTGTGGAATCGGCATCAAAATGCATAACGAAAACTGGACAATTTCTACAGGTAATATTGCGAGACGTATGCAGTAATTTCATGATAATTTAGAAACTTTTGATGGCGGGGTCTTGGTAATTTCCTAGAGAACGATTTTTGGACCCCCACCTGGAATGTTCAGATG